AGAGATATATTACAGGACTGATATTAGTAAGTTTAATGACCTCTTTTTCGACACTGGACTTTGCAACTGATTAATCCCCGGACGGACTGATCTAGTGTATGATATATGGACTGTTTGACTATGCTATAAATCTTACTGGAATAAACTATTTAACTAGCACTGTGTATCTGTTTTACTGAGTGTAAACTACAATAACGTTTGTCTCACATATCTGCCTGCCTGCCTGACTGCCGGGTCTGCTAGGGTGTATATCCCTAACATAAATGGGCCAGGTAATTTACCTGCCTGACAAAATAGCCATTTTTATTTTTTAGCTCCTTACCCTTGGCAACTCAAACAAGAGAGAAGAGGGACTGCACTTTCTTGAAAACTAGAGAGGTCACCAAAAGATCATCTGCATGTTATAACAACACAGAGGCACAAGACAATGGAAAATAGCAATGTCCCAACGAAGTTTTGCAATATTCCTAAAAGGACAGATTTCTGAGAACAAGAAAAATTGGGTCAACAATGCTTCATGAAGATCTTGCATCAAACCACCAATTAGGGTCTCTCTCTCTCTCTCTCTCTCTCTCTCTCTCTGTATATGTGTGTGTGCGTGTGTGTGTGTGTGTGTGTGTAATCTGGTTTCTTGACAGAATTGAGAAGCGGAGTATTGGAAAGATTTGATGCAGGAACAACTATACTTTATTCATTGTTTATTGAGGAACAGAACAAGAGATCAAATTTCTTCCATTTGTTTTATTTGAGGGATCCAGAGAAAATCCGGTTAAGTAGGACTCCAGTCTTTGGATATGTCTATCAATTCTGTGGATAATGTGGACCCACAATTATAAATAGAGGTGCCCATAGCTTTTCAAGCCCACACTGCAAAAGGGGATAAGAGGCAGATGAAGCAATGACAGTTGAATAGAAAACTAGAAGCCAGTTACAATGTGGCTAGGGCAAGACTGTGTTCATTATTATTGTAAACATCTAAAAAGACCCCTTCAGGGATACAATCAAGTGAAATTCAGCTTGAAAAATAGGTCTCCTGCCAAAAGTAAGTCTCCCCGAGAAAGAAATAAAATGAATGATGACAATAAGCAGTTCCTGAGTTTCCCAGTGCAGAACTGAGTTCTTACGTTCTCATTGCAAAATAGTGAGCATTGGTCAAAGAAAAGTTGGGAAGTTTGTCAATGAAGATTCTCAGTTATCCAGATAAAGTTATCTGGAAGTTGAGTTATGGCAACTGGCCTTTTATTCTTTTCTGGTTTGAAACATTTTGCTGCTTATCCAAGTCAGATTAGCTGCAATATCATCCAGAAAGGATTCAAAGTGATAGCCAACCTCTAAGCAGTATGAGATTTAGAATCTTAAGAAATTAAAAGGCTGAAGTTAAAAGGGCCCCCAAATCAACTCTAATATGAAGGTAAAGGTGGAAAGACAGGCTAATTCTGAAGCTGAGCATGCACTGAATCTGTTGACATTGTTATATAGCAGAACCACTTGGCACTTGTTCTAATTTAGGATACTGGTTTTTCCATGGCTCATATATCCCACATTTGTAGACAAATGATGCAAATTTACACCATGACTATTGTTGCTTGTTGCTATTTTCCCAACCTGATCTCTGTTGCTCCTGCCACTGGAGATCATTTTCAGCAATACATTGTGCCACCATAATTCTACTTTCATGCAGAGTTGCAAAATTAAAAAAGGCATTCTGAGATTGCTGTAAAAAGTGGTGAATGGCTGCTAACAGCTCTGCTATTGGTTTTGTAACTTTCCTACCGGGGACAGTTTCAATTGCTTGCTAACATCAAGCAACATTTTATTTAATAGTATGTTAGCAATTACAGCAGCATTACTTGCTATGGCCCCAGTGTGTCTGAATATTTAATTGACATTTGTACAAACCTCTCATAACGGTCCACAATAGTCCATCAGACCATTAAAACACAATACTATCCAAATTAGAGTTTACAAATTGAATCCAATGCTATCTAAATTACTCATCAATGAATAACCAGATAAGGTCTTGCATTGTATCAAAATGCAGGATGTCTTCCACTTGCAACCACAATTGAGTCCAAAATTTCTGTTGTTAAGCAAGGCATGTGTTAAGTGAGTTTTAACCCATTTTACAACTTTTCTTGCCACAGTTGTTAAATAAATAGTTGCAGTTGATAAGTTAGTAATCCGATTGTTAAGTGAATCTAGCTTCCCCATTGATTTTGTTTGTCAAAAGGTTCCGAAAGGTAATCACATGGCCTTGGGATATAGGAACAGTAGTAAGTATGAAGCAATTGTCAAGCTTCTGAATTTTGATCACATGATCGTGTGGCTGCTACAAAGGTCATGTTGAGGTAATTTCCCGTTAGGAGAATTGTGAAAATTGGCCATGTCACTTTTTTCAGTGCCATTATAACTTTGAATAGTCACTAAATGAATTGTTGTGTTGAGGACTACCTGCATATCAATTTCTTTGCACTATTTCCTTGACTAACCAGTTTTGCCATGCTTTTTGTGATATATTCAGTGTAAACCTGTTCTGCTGAAATGTGAATCTTTTTTACTTACTTCATAAAGCATGTATTTTAAATCCCTTTTACCTCTGCTCAACAAATATCCTTGAGCATCAACATATGGAACAGAAAGAAATCTCTCTTAGGGTGCGGTCTTTTTAATATATCTAATCAAGTGTAAAAGAATAAACAGTCCCAGAATTACACTGCAGAATACCAATTCTTTATTATCAGCACACGGTTGCGTGCACAGCAAACAGCAACACCATTTGGAAATTGCTCTCAAAATATGGTGGGGAAAACAAATTGCATGGATTGCAAAGTCAATGAATCACATCAGATTTATTGTGTGGCACTTCCAGTCCTTTTTGCAAGAAGATGCCAAGAATATAGGAGAGCCTTCCTAGCACAAGAGCATCATGATTTTAGTGAGGGTGGGGTGTCTGTCCCCTCAAGGAGGATTGGAAATTCCTTTATGTTTTCCTTTTCTGGTTTGACAAGATGATAGTAAATCCAGAAGGGCCAGGCAATGGATAGCAAACATTACTAGTGCTTCCCAGAGAGATTGATTCTAAATAAGAACTTAAGAAAAATACTGCTTTAGTGCTCAAGGAATAATACCAGATCACTCTAAACTTGAGAGCAAGTCTCTTAAGTTTTAGAAAAAATAAGCCGATCTATAAACATTATTTTTACTTAATTCCCACTGTCCTTTCCTCGGTTAAACATTCACTTCCACCAAAGTTGATTCTATTTCCATCTCTTCTTTACCTACACCAACATTTAAAAAAAAAATTCAATTGTTCAATACACTAACAATTAAAAAAACAACCCAAAACCTCCTGTTTGTTTTTTTTTCCCCCCCCCCCCCAACACACACACATCCCTTTTCCTGAAGGAATTACAAGTATAAGCCTTTTAGTGGCAATTAGTCACTAAATTGGCCAATGTTCTCAACTCATCCAAATCTGTGGAATACAAGCTTTCTCCATTCTCAGCCATTGGGAAAGATTAGAGGTACAGCAGCTGGGGAGAATTGTTGCCTTGCCCGACAACCTGCAGAATAAGAATTTCTTTAGATTTGCCCTGCAGATCATCCAAATAATACCAGCAGAGGAGAGGGGAAAGAATATGTATTTATGTATGTATTTTATATCCTAGAATATAAAGTGAGAGCAAACCTCACTCCTTACTAGCACTGATGATGTTACCTAGTTTGGATAAGGAAATGTCTGCAAGGAAACAACCAAGCTCAGAAAGCACCAAGGACCTTTCATTTCAATCTTGAGCTACAAATATTCTCCTTTATTGGATTTTATATCCTTCATTATTTGTATAAACAATTCAAAGTGATGAATGTATCTATTCTGACTTGTGTCATATATGAAGGCATATGCCTAATTTTGTATTTATTTATTCTGTCATGGTTATGTAGTGTATACTGGAGGTGGTGACCAGTGGTGGGATTCAAATGTTTTGACTACCGGTTCTGTGGGCATGGCTTGGTGGGCGTGGCAAGGGAAGGAAACCGTAAAATCTCCAGTCAGAGGTGGTGTTTGCCCATTTTCCAAACTACTCATAATTTCTACTACCTGTTCTCCAGAACTGGTCAGAACCTTCTGAATACCACCTCTGGTGGTGACCCTTTGGGAGCTGTATGCAATGAAATTTCATTTTTAACGTATTCCTATTAGTGTACATTCAAAGTGATAACAAAGTTATTCTATTCTCTCTTCTCTTCCCTTCTCCTTCCTCTTTTCCCCACAACTTCAACCTTGCCAGGTGAGTTGGGCTGAAAGGGACTGGCCCAAAGTCAGAGTTAACAGCCTCACCTCAGGGCCGCTGGTCCTTTGTCCCCAACCTCCACTACTCACCCGCAAGAGTTAACCCGGCCTAGAAGCGAGTAAAATACATGTTGTTGGCTCTGTTCCGAAGAAGTTTGACCTCACGCTAGTAACACGAGCTCGCAGGAATCTTGAATCCAGACAGTCCCGTAGAAGGATACTGACGGTGGCAAGATTGTTTGGCTCCCTCCCTCGCCTTTCCGAAAACAGGCATTGGGGATTAAAGAATGCTCACAAACTTAATCCCGGTTATCGGCCCCCATATCTAAATGCCGCAAAGTCCTTGCGTTTTCAAGAAAGGTTCATTGCGACAAAACATCCTCTTTCAAAACGAACAATAATGCCCCTCCCACCTATTCTCCCCCACCCCTTTCTTTGGTTTCGGATAGCTGCTGCCAGAAAAAGTTGCCCGAGACTCAGGGAAGCCTGCAGCTCTTCGCCGCCTTTCATCTTGGAGGTCCTGGGAAGATAAAATTCGGGAGGATTGCGCAAACTCATTAAATTGAGCAACCGCTAATCCAACTCAAAAATTACGCAACGACTCCTCCGAAAGCCTGAGCGGAATACAAATCCCAGCATGCCGAGCGGATTCCTCGATCGCTATTGGTCGCCGGTTCCCCTCTCTCCCCCCCCCTCGGCACACGTGACTCCAGCCGGCTACATCTGTTCTGGCCCGTGTCGGGGAGGTTGTGGGAAAAGTGACTTAGCTTAAGGCGAGAGGAATGGCATTCTTGTCAGCTCTCAGGGTATCTCAGAGCGGGCGCCGGGGTTTTCTCCTGCGAGGGGCCTTCCGAGACCATCTGAACAGGAGCTGTCGGTCCGGGACATCTATGAGACAGACGCAGCAGCAGCAACACGCGCTGGAATTGACCTCTGAACAGGTGAGGCGGGCGAGCAGAAAAGACGAAGGACTTCGCCTGCACATAGTCTGGAGGCGCTGCCCTCCTTGCAGTCTGATGAAAGTCTTAACTGAGTCGCTGATCGCGCCTCTTAGAAATACCTTGGGCCCTAAAAGGGGGCAAATCACCTAAACCTGGGATAGAGTCCTTTACAACAGTGGCATATCCCGAAAGTGCATCAACTGGAGAGCAACTTGATTGGATTCCCACAAACGTACCTGGCTGCAAAGTGGGTTTGTTGCTCCCTAGATTGTATGAACGAGGGCTATATCTGTGCTCCAAAAACAGCATTAGATAGCAGCTGAGAGATCAGAGAAGCTGTAAACTCTTTACAGCCCAGGCACAGGTTGAACCAGTGTAACTGTCCTTATTCAAGAAAGGAAAGTTAAGCAAAAGGCAGCATAATGTTATGTGAATGTGTTACATTGTTAAACTTGCAGGTGGCCTGACTCTCAACAACTCTGGACAGCTCACAACAATCAAGCTCATTGCAATATCAATAAAAAGCATCAAATAAACCAATGGCAAGCTTGATGAAGCAAGAGATCTCATTCTCCCTTGCTGAAGGCCTGCGAGAAGAGCCAGGTTTTTGCTGCTTTTGAGGGGAACCTTATTTTCAAGAAGGTGTGCTTCTGGGGTCCCGAAAGTTGACAGTATTTAATCAAAGGAACTCTGAATGTATCAACCCATCAGGCTCAGGAATTCTGGGAGTTGAAGTCCACAAATCTTAAACTTGCCAAGTTTGAAGACCCTTGTCCTATGCCATGTCTCCCAGAATATATCATGCCTTTTACCTAAGAAACATTACTGTAATGGGTGGATTAAAGTACTTTCTGATGAGAAAAAAACTATTTCATATGCCTAGGAGTGCTTTCTTTGTCTATATAAGACAAGTATTGGCACTTGGAATGAATTAGGAATTAAAATTCCTGGGAATTTGCAGGCGGCTTTCCAGGTAATGGAAGAATTTGAAAATTATCAAAGGCAAGTGCTTACATGATATCTTTACTTAGCATTTAATCCAAAAGTTCTGTATGGAACATTCCTTGAAGCTAGGGCTGCCACTCTGTATACGTTAACATTTAGAAAACATCTGAAACAAAAAATTACCCTTTGCCAATGCAGTTTATATCACTCTTGGGTTTAAAACTAATTACATTCCCTTTGCAATTCTCATAATTGTCAACCAGTTGAAGTTGGATAAGAATTGAAACTAAATACTTCTCAAATTGAAAAAGGCTGCTCAGAATAGCATATTTAACTATTTGTACCAAGACAAATTTCTTGTGTGTCCAATCTCACTTGGCCAAAAAAGAATTCTATTCTATTGAAATTATATTAAAAATCATTTTTCAGGTTTAGTTACTTGATTTTTTTTTCTTGATCTTCTTTGACGGTAATCACAGATAAGGTTTTGGGTTGATGTGATTAATGTGCTGGAATGAACTGGATGGACTGTTTGTGTTTTTTTTGACGTTGGCGTTAAGTTGTTGTATTATCAACTTCTCATATTTTGGTCTGAAGGTAAGATGGTATCTCTTTGATACCTCTCCAAATCTTTCACTGAATCATTCAGGGTGGAGTTGTGTATACGTTTTCTTTCAACAAATTGGAAGTTTGGATTTCAGCTCTTATGTCCAAATAAAATAAAATCAACTTTGTAAGGTAAAATAAAGACAAAATAATTTAAATTCTTTAGCTACATATTTCAATATGTGAGGCTTTCTTGTTGGACTTTTTAAAAAATAATTGTTACATTAAAGGCTAGGAATGTAGAAATTGTAACCTTAGTCCCACATGTGGACTAAGTTAGTTTTGGCTTCAGTTCCATACAATACTATAATGTAGTTTTCCCATTGCAGTTTTGAAGCAGCCTTAGAGGGCCTGGGGCTCTGTAACTAGCACCAGGTTTCAGTTTAAATGCTCACTGTTTCATTCAGACAAAATAAACAAGCCAAAACCGGTAATTCCCTTGAGGAAATGGAAAGCCTGCTTCCCACATACCTTAACTGGGCATTATCCCTTCATTTCTTACAAAAGAAAAAAAGATCTATAAGTAGTCTTCTGAATGAGCAGGGGTAGGACTAGGTGACCTCCAGGGTCCCTTCCAACTCTGTTACTGTTACCGCTAGTTCTCATTTAGTGGCCATAATCAAGATAGGTAACTCAGTTGTTCAGCAAAGCAGTCACTAAGTGAACATGTGGTGGTGCTCATGATCTTCAGCTTACTTTTGCTTTACAGACTTGCAAAGGTTGTAAATGCAAGGGTTGGTTATAAAGTTGCTTTTTCAGATGTGGAAAGACCTGGCCCATAGACTCATCAAGAGTCAGACATGATTGAATGGATATCATCATCATCATCATCATCATCATCATCATCATCATCATCATCATCATCATCATGTTGCTAAAAAGACTACCACCTATATTTTTTTAAAAAATAGGATCAGTGGTTCTTTGTTTAGTAGACAAACCCATCTTTGCATAGTTCAGCTACTAACATACTTTCAGGTGCTACTATAAGTTAAGGACGTGAACAAGTATTTAGAGGAAATGCAAGTTAAGTATTTAGCATGGCTGAAGTTTAAAACATACAGGCTGATGCAAAATAACTTTCTTACATTAATGGGAAAAATGTGGGAAATCAGATGAGTTGAATTTGAATTTCTGGTACAATATTTCTGAATATTTCTGGTTCTTTTTGAATGTCAATTTCATAGGTGTAATTGAAGTTTGATGAAATGGTTCTCATGAAATGCAGTGATGATGGAAGGCTAGATAGAACTTATTCAGAAAAGAATTCATGCACTATATGTGAAAATCAAAATAGAAATATATATGGATATATTTTACAAATTGAGCTAATGATAGTCTCTCACAACATGCTTAGCCATAATATGGGTTTGCTGATTTCTGAGGGGGTTGTGAGAATGAGGGCAATATGTGGGTTCCAAAAATGCAGAAAAGCATTAGATGGCAGCAAAGAGATAAAGGAAACTTTAAACTCTTCATTAGCTCTCCCAGTGGCTTGCATTAAGTAGGAGTTATGTTAAATGTCGTTCCCAGTGGAGCAAACCTGCATGCAACAAAAATTGCATTCATGTGTGGAAAGATATCGGGTCATTCTCTCATCCTTTATGAAACCAATACTATGTCAGTAAGGCACTATACAATATAATATAATGAAGCCTGACAAATTTGTTTCTCAAAACTTCATTTTCTTTGAAGAATAGACTGCAGCTATAACTGTAAAACTATTCTCAGAGTTTCACAAATATAATTGTCTATTTGGAGCAAGGTTGGAAAACCTAAAGCAATTTGGCCTGAAATTGTGGTCTGTAGATGTATTAGTATGCGAACTCTAAAACTGCAGCTAGCATGGTCTATGGATTAAAGGTGCAAATGCAGAACAGAGAGTGAGAAATACTTTAATTTTCTGCCTTTGTCCAAGGACTCTGGCTGACCAGTATTGGTTTTGCAGTGATTTGGGGGCCTTAAGTAACCTTCAGAATTTGTCTGAAGCTACTCATGAATTTTGGTTTTTAATATGACAGAATAGAACAATTAATTAAATGAGGATGATCAAATTAGCTGTACTTCAACTGAACTTAAATTCAGTTTTCTTTCCTGGTTCTGCCCTACACAGCTTTTAAGAATGCAAGCATCTGAATGCCATTCAAATATCAAATATGGCTGCTTGTCTGATTTGCTGGTTTCTGAGGCTAGAAGATCTTCAGGAGGTGCGACAACATAACTGTAATTACTACTCATCTGTATATTAATGGAAGTTGTAAGTCTTCCTGAATTATACACTTAAGTGAATTAACTTTACAATTGTATTTGTGAGGAATAAATACAGTGCTGCACTTAAATCTTGATGGAAATTCTTCCTAAGATTTGGCTGGGCTGGGGAGAGGTCAGAGGAGTGATTCTCATATGAAATCTCATATTGATTGGAGTGGAACATATCAGGGTAGAACATTATTCTAAAGATCCCAGTTTCTCCTGAATAAAGAATTCCAGGGATGGCTGATTCTGTTTGGTATAGTTAGATAGCTCAACCTACTCCCTCCCTCCATACATGAGCCAGTTTGGTCTAATGTTTCAAGGAACCAGGCTTGAATCTGAGAGATTGTAAATTCTAATCCCTCCTTCGCCATGAAAGCCAGTTGGGTGATCTTGGACAAATCACACTCTCTCAACCATAAGGTTGTTGTGGGGAAGATGTATTGGATATGTTCACCTTGAGTTGTTTGTAAAACTAATAAAGGCAAGATTGAAATAAATGCACATAATACCTGTTCATATCACTTGTTAGAAGCCATCATGAATTTAAGAGTGCTTTGAATTAACAGTTGTATATTATAGGTATATTTAATTATTTTACTTTAGAGCGAAACAATTACTTTTACACACACACACAATTTGATTATTTTTCTCTCTGGGTGTTCATATGCATTTAGTGCTGGTGAGTAGATGAAGTTACTCAGTGGTCTAGAACAGACTATAGTGCAGTAGAAAGTTACCTCATGCTTTTTACATTTGTTTTTGAAAAATGCTGCAGTAATAGCTGCCAACAGATCAAATATTTGACTTTCTCTTCTGTGTTTTTAAAAATATTGTTTACTGGGGTAAAGAACAGTATGTTTCTGACATGAGCAGTTCAATGTGAACTTTTTAATATTAGCATTTCTCTTCTGTGTCTTCTATTTCTGATGTATTTTGTTTTGACCCTTGATACATGGTAAGCAACATTCTTTTGGAAATAATGTTAGAATTGTTTTCTCAACAATTTTTGCATGTTTGTATAACATCATAATAGTGATCTATATTTGTTGCATATAGTCAGTTGTGATGATATAACTTGGCAGGACAGTGAAATGGAGCTTCAAGAAAACTTAACTAAAACCCAAGAAGCTTCCCAGTAAGCAAAAAATATTTATATATAGTGAATGGGGAAGGGTACCCATTGAAACATTGATCTGCTAAATTGCAAATGGGATTTTTTTAAAAAATCCAAAAGCTTAATTTGCACAGGAGAAAATCCTACTTTACTGATAACAATGAACACCCATTGTGTAAAGAAGTAGCAAAAATATTTGTCAAATAACAAAATAACAGAGTTGGAAGGGACCTTGGAGGTTTTCTAGTCCACCCCCCCCAGCTCAAGGAGGAAACCATATACCATTTCAAACAACCGGTTCTCCAGTCTTTTCTTAAAAACTTCCCATGTTGGAGGATTTACAACTTCTGGAGGCAAGTTGTTCCACTAATTAATTGTTCCAACTGTCAGGAAATTTCTCCTTAGTTCTAGGTTGCTTCTCTCCTTGATTAGTTTCCATCCATTGCTGCTTGTCCTGCCCTCAGGTGCTTTGGAGAATAGCTTGACTCCATCTTCTTTGTGGCAGCCCCTGAGATATTGGAACACTGCTATCATGTCACCCCTAGTCCTTCTTTTCATTAAACTAGACATATCCAATTTATGCAACCATTCTTCGTATATTTTAGCCTCCAGGCCCCAAATCCATAATCTCAGAAAATTAGAATATTGTGAAAAGGTTCAATATTCTAGGCTCAAAGTCTCCCACTCTAATCAGCTAATTAAGCCATAACACCTGCAAAGGGTTCCTGAGCCTTTAAATGGTCTCTCAGTCTGGTTCAGTAGGAATCACAATCATGGGAAAGACTGCTGACCTGACAGTTGGGCAGAAAACCATCATTGACACCCTCCATAAGGAGGGAAAGCCTCAAAAGGTAATTGCAAAAGAAGTTGGATGTTCCCAAAGTGCTGTATCAAAACACATTAATAGAAAGTTATGTGGAAGGGAAAAAAGTGCACAAGCAGCAGGGATGATTGCAGCCTGGAGAGGATTGTCAGGAAAAGGACATTCAAAAGTATTGGGGACTTTCACGAGGAGTGGACTGAGGCTGGAGTCATTGCATCAAGACCCACCACACACAGACGGACCCTGGACATGGGCTTCAAATGTCGTATTACTCTTGTCAAGCTGCTCCTGAACAACAAACAACGTCAGAAGCGTCTTACCTGGGCTAAAGAAAAACAGAACTGGTCTGTTGCTCAGTGGTCCAAAGTCCTCTTTTCTGATGAGAACAACTTTTGCATCTCATTTGTAAACCAAGGACCCAGAGTCTGGAGGAAGAATGGAGAGGCACACACTGCAAGATGCTTGAAGTCCAGTGTGAAGTTTCCACAGTCTATTGATTTGGGGAGCCATGTTATCTGCTGGTGTTGGTCCACTGTGCTTCATTAAGTCCAGGGTCAAGCAGCCATCTACCAGGAGATTTTGGAGCACTTCATGCTTCCTTCCGCAGATGAGCTTTATGGGGATACTTCATTTTCCATCAGGACTTGGCACCTGCCCACACTGCCAAAAGCACCAAAACCTGGTTCAATGAGTGTGGAATTACTGTGCTTGATTGGCCAACAAACTCGCCTGACCTGAACCCCATAGAGAATCTATGGGGCATTGCCAAGGGAAAGATGAGAGACATGAGACCGCACAATGCAGAAGAGCTGAAGGCCGCTATTGAAGCATCCTGGTCTTCCATAACACCTCAGCAGTGCCACAGGCTGATAGCTTCCATGCCACGCTGCATTGAGGCAGTAATTGCTGCAAAAGGGGCCCAAACCAAGTACTGAGTACATATGCATGCTTATACTTTTCAGAGGTCCGATATTGTTCTATGTACAATCAGGCATTATATTCTTCCGATTAAAATTGGAATTCCGATTTTTTTGGGAATCGCCCCCTCCTTTCCCCCCACCCCTTCTTCTCCTCCTTCCCCTCCCCTCGGAGGCCCCGAGTCAGGAGTTGCTGGCGTAGCTCCGCGCGGTTCCAGTCCCGCGTTGCCTCAGGAAGGGAAAGGCAAAAAGGAAGAGCCGCGGCGGCGCTTTGCAACGGCAGCAGCGGCTCCTGGTTTTGCCTTTCCCTTCCCGAGGCAACGCGGGACTGGAGCTGCGTGGAGCTGCGCCGGCAGTAGCAACTCCTGACAGCCCCAGCCGGATACCTGAGCGGAGCCTGGGCGGTGCGAGCGGAGGCCACTGAGCAGCAGGAAAAGGGAGCTGGGCCAGCCACAGACCAGCCTCCGTGCAACATGCCGCCGCCCGGCCCCGGCAGAAAGCAGCGGGCGCTCCCCGGGCGCACGGCGGGGGGTCTCTTTTGTCCGGCCCCGATTTTTTTTCCAGAGCGGAATATCATGCCTGGTACAATCCTTGTTTTATTGATTGCATGTCATATTCTAATTTTCTGAGATTGTGGATTTGGGGTTTTCATGAGCTGTAAGCCATAATCATGACAATGGTGACAAATCATGGCTTGAACTATCTTGCTTTGCATGTAATGAGTCTATCTCATATATTAGTTTCACCTTTTACTTGAAATAAATGAACTTTTGCATAATATTCTAAGTTTTTGAGTTTCACCTGTAGATAATAAAGTTATATTGAATAGATTAATGACAACCTTCGCTCTATCAATTCTTATGTTGGTAGTGACAATCTATATTACCATGTAAGATTGTCATGCTTTTAAAATGTAAAGAAGCACACAAATATAAAAATAAAAAACTTTAGGCTGAGTTTCTTGCCTTCACTTAATTATATTCTCTACTCCCTCCGTTCCTACGTTTAACAGAACACATTTTTCATGAAATCTCAAAAGTGGAAAATTTATTTATTTATAACACAGGCAATTGTGGTCCCAAGAAGAACACGGTTCTTATCTGATGCTGTCCCTTTTTCTGATTTCCTGACTGATAGCTTTGGACGCCAGCATAACTACTTGAGAATTTCCCTAACTGAGAAATGCAACCTCAGGTGTAAGTCTTTCTACTCTAAATATAAGTTAAATTATAAAATGCAAAGTTCTGTTTTCATAACATCTTATTTGTGGACCAATGTTTAACAAGAGTCAGAATGACTTATTTGCAGAATGCCACACACACTGCGATCCCAAAACTAAATTTGTTTCATTGATGCTGTTTCCCATGATATCGAAACTGTTCAGAACAATATCTTATAGAACATTATTTTCCTGAATAATTAGATTGTGAAATTATAAGCAAAAATGGAGGAAACAAAAGAGCAGATGTGTTAAAACACATTCTAGTCCAACTTGTTTGGATAACATATCTTATTTCCCCTGAAGCAGTTGGAAACCTGAAACAGTAAACCCTTATCACTTTCATTACAAGGCCTTAATTAATTTTTATGATATAAATAACTTGGAACTATAGTCCGATGTGCCAGATGTATGTAATGAAGTTAGTTGCTAATTCATAAAAGTTACTGCAGTGTTTCCTACCTGGGAGCCATAGAAAAGTGCTAAATTTAAGGTGCCAGAATTCTCAGCAATGGTCATGCTTTCTGTAGAATTCTTGTAAAACTGAAGTCTTCACATCTCAAGACACCAGGAACTAGTTTCTTCCTGGGACTGTAGCATATAAGGTGCCTACCTATAGGATATTGTGATATGTAGGTATTTTTTCATTCATTCACTCTCTGGTGGTTTTTTTTTTTTTTTTTGATAGCTCAAGGGAGAAAAATGTACATTAAAAAGAATGAGAATGTAAAATATTGTAACCTTCTTTGGAAATAGTTTGCTTCTAATTCAGTAATTTGAAAACAGGCATGTCTTAAAATTCTTGACTGCATGTTTCAGGTCAGTATTGTATGCCAGAGGAAGGAGTTCAGCTAACTCCCAAATCCGAATTGTTGAGCACCCAGGAAATCATTACTCTTGCCCGGCTCTTTGTGAAGGAAGGTGTGGACAAGATCCGTTTGACTGGAGGAGAGCCTCTTATCCGGCCTGATGTGGTGGACATCATAGGTACACTTGTTATAGATGCTATAGATACCAAAAGCTGCGGTGACGCAGTGGTTAGAATGCAGTACTGCAGCTAATTCTGCTGACTGCAGGCTGCGAGCAGTTTGGCAGTTCGATTCACATCGGCTGAAGGTTGACTCAACCGTCCATCCTTCCGAGATCGGTAAAATGAGGACACAGACTGTTAGGGGCGATATGCTGACTCTATCAATTGCTTAGAGAGGGCTAAAAAGCACTGTGAAGTGGTATACACTGTAAACTTAAATGCTATTGCTGTTGCTATATGTCACAATGCTGGCCTATGATCAAAATTGATTGATTGATTGACTTTATGTCTCACTATAGGAGAATGTTACAGTTAATATTTTGAGAATTCAAGCAGATCTTAGGTTTGCTGTGCTGTACAAAAATATATAATATCAATGTGCATCTTGTGATCTCTGGAATACCATATATACTTGTAGATAAGCCAAGAATTTTAGGTGACAAAATGCATCTAAAAGATCAGGTTCCGATTATCCATAGATGGGCTTATCCAACATTAGCAGTAGCATTTAGACTTATATACTGCTCCATAATGCTTTTTACAGAGACAATATGTTGCTCCCAATAATTTGGGTCCTCATTTTACTGACATTGGAAGGATGGAAGGCTGACTCAACCTTGAGCTGGTCAGGATCAAACGCCTGGCTGTGGATACTGTTAACCTGCAATACTGCATTCTAACCACTGGTTACCACAACTATTATATACCATAAAGAGTTCCAATATTTACTTACAGATAGGCAGACCCTCTCATTTTTAACTAACTACCATTAAGAATGCAAGTCATCTAATGGACTACAGTGAAAAGGTACTTTCCTGGAAAGGAGGGCGGGGGGAAGAGAGAGAGAGTGAGAGTGAGAGAGAGAGAGAGAGAGATGGCTTATCCACAGAAGGGCCTACATGTGAATATATGTAGTATATTAATATCTTCATCTTGATTAAGGATGATGGCGCAAATTAAGTTAGTTTCTTAACAAAAAAATTGTCAAATTTAGAGAAATAGATACAGATTTCCATAAACACATATAGGAAGCCCAAATGGGATGCTCCAAATCCTATGCTATTATACTTAATTACAGTATGTGTCATGTTTTTTTTTCTCTTCCTTATAATTATTTACCCAATCTTCAGTTTAACACAGTTAGTAATCTTTCATCATCACTTTGTTTTCTTAGCTCAATTACGCAAATTAGAAGGGTTGAAAACTATCTCTGTCACAACGAATGGGATCAATTTAGCCAGACTGTTACCCCGGCTAAAAGAGGCTGGCTTGGATGCCATTAATATCAGCTTGGACACTCTGATTCCAGCTAAATTCGAATTCATTGTCCGTCGAAAAGGTATTTTGAAATCTTCTGCAATAACTTGTTTAATATTACTGTGCCCTCTATGGAATTTACCATATGATAGGGAGTAAAGAGCTCAGAACTAATCAGAGAGCATGTATTTTCAATAGCTAGTTAATAATTTGATCTCAAATTTCAAGTTTTTTTTTAATTACTGCTCAGGATCTTGAGATGAATATATATCTCTGTATGGCATGATATGTAATTATTTAATATATTGATATGTAAAGCTGTGCAATACTTTTGATTTGATTTTGAAAAAAAGGTATATAAGAGCATGACTACAGAACCTATCTGCAACTCTTTAAAACACCTATATCTTTTCCCATTTTCAGCTATTTGTGAAATATACACATTTATTTCTGAGCAGCACTGAACATGACTTCTCAAATGCCATGATTTCATGACTGCCTAAAAAAATTAATGAATTTGCATAATGTCTTCCATGAAATATTTATCTGGGGATTATATTGGGGGAAAAAATTTAAGATTGCCACTTACTTTTCATATGCAAATTTTAATCTACATAAAAAATAAAAAACAATACAACCTTAAAACATTTAAAAATAAAACAATTTCATTGGACATACACTCAAAATCAAAAACATTTTAGTAAGAAGAAAGAGTTTACTTTTGCATAATTCCTAAAATCCTTAAAATCAGAATTTTATCTTCAAGACAGTACTTTTGTATTTTGTTCTGTATTACTTTTGGTCATTATTTGTTCTTTATAGCAACAACTGCAGAAAATTGTAAGTTACATGAACAGGATGTCCCATATTGAACCACTGTTTTCATAATCTTCTTGGTTAAGTTCATAGTAACATATTTTGCATACTAATCCAAATTTCAGAAAGTCATTGTCAGGAATTTTTTTTCGAAGAAGTATCAGAAGAAGTATTAGCAAATGTACTCCTAGCTGGTTTAGCACTCATTAAAATAACAAGTATAAATATTGAACTATATTAACATATATGCTTCTATAGATACCCTGAACGCCATCACTCTGCTAAGCAAATAATTTACACGGTCAAACTATTTACTAAGTCTGCACTACTATTACTATTAATCTTCTCATCACTCCTTATTACCCATCCTCTCCCACTTGTGACTGTATGACTGTAACTTTGTCGCTTGTATCCTTACAATTTATATTGACTGTTTCTTAGTATGATTTGATTGCTTATTGTACGCTATGACTATTATTAAGTGTTGTACCTTATGATTCTTGACTCTTGACTAATGTATCTTTTCTTTTATGTACACTGAGAGCATATGCACCAAGACAAATTCTTTGTGTGTCCAATCAGACTTGGCCAATAAAGAATTCTATTTATTTATTTTTATTTTATTTATTTGATTTGTCAATTGCTTACAAGATAATAGGTATAAGTATAAACATAGTTATGAATACATGATACACATAAGAAAATAAAAGAAACAATAGGACAGGGACAGTAGGCACTTTGGTGCACTTATGCATGCCCCCTACAGACCTCTTAGGAAAGGGGTGAAGTCAATAGTAGACAATCTAAGGTTAAAGTTTTTGGGGTTTGGGGAAGAAACCACAGAGTCAGGTAGAGTATTCCAGACATTGACCACTCTGTTGCTGAAGTCGTATTTCCTGCAATCAAGTTTGGTGCAGTTAACCATGAGTTTGTATCTATTATGTGCTCTTGTATTGTTATGGTTGAAGCTGAAGTATTCATTGACAGGTAGGACATTGCAATGTATGATTTTATATACTATATTTAGATCAGACCGAAGGCAGCATAGTTCTAGGTTTTCTAGGTCTTGAGTTTCAAGTCTGGTGGCATAAAGTATTCTGTAATGAGTAGAGGAGTGGAGAACTCTTCTTGTGAAATATTTCTGGACTTTCTCTACTGTGTTAATATCAGATACGTAATGTGGGTTCCAGACTGATGAGCTGTATTCAAGTATTGGTCTAGCAAATGTTTTGTATGCTCTAGTTCAGTGATGGCTAACCTTTTCAGCTTGGTGTGTCGAAAATCAGGAAAAAGTGTAGCCTTCCTCGGGTCGTGTGTCACTTCAAGAAATATCAATAATTCGGTTTATGATGGACTGGGCTGGGGTGATCACACAGGGCTGTGAAACTCGTCTCCTTGGTCTCAGGGCTGCAGGTGCAGGATGTGGGGATCGGAAGGCCACCTTACAGGGCTGTGAACCTCATGGATCTCCTTTCCTCCTGTAGCGTTCATGAGGTAATGAAACTGACAAACCTCAGTTTATGACGGTTAAAACTGGTTCTCTGCTGCAAAGATCTTGCGGCAGCGGTGACACCATGCCTCCACGCAACAAGCAGGGAGCAGGGATTGGAGCAGAGCACAGGCAGCCTCTAAACGTGCAGGTTTTCCCCACATCAACAGGCGTGTCAGTCAAAGTGCCTCGGCGTGTCACGAGTGACACGCGTGTCATAGGTTAGCCATCACTGCTCTAGTTAGTAGTGTGATATTACCAGAGAAAAAGCTATGTAGGATTAGGTTAACAACTCTTAATGCCTTTTTGGCTATGTAGTTACAGTGGGCTCTAGCACTTAGATCATTTGAGATGAGTACTCCAAGGTCCTTGACAGACTTTGGATCATCAACAAGGGCTTGACTATTCAGCTTGTATTTTATTTTCTGATTTTTTTTGGCCAATATGTAGGACAGAACATTTATTTGTTGAGATTTGAAGTTGCCATTTGTTTGACAATTCTGATACATAGTCGAGGTCTTTTTGAAGGGTAGCAGAATTATCTGTGGTGTTGAATAGCTTTACATCATCAGCGAAGAGAACGCAATTGCTCTTAATATGATCATAGAGGTCATTTATGTAGAGTATGAAGAGAGGTGGTCCTAGAACACTGCCTTGAGGGACACCACTGTTGACAGGTACAGAATTTGATAGGATGTTCCCAATTTTGACCATTTGTTGTCTGTTTGACAGGAATGCTTCTATCCAGTTATGCAGGTGTCCAGAGATACCATAAGATTTTAGTTTTAGGAGTAGTTTGTCGTATACCACTGAATCAAAGGCTTTACAGAAGTCTATGTAGATTGAGTCTATTGTTTTGCCCTGATCGAGTTGTGTAGTCCATATGTTTTGCAGTGTAAGAGTTGCAGATTACAGGATAGTTTTTTTCTGAAACCAAATTGTTTATTAGAGAGTAGGTTGTTTGTCTCTAAGTGGAGGATAATGGATTGGTTAATAATTGATTCCATGACTTTACAGGTGACGCAGCATAAAGAGATTGGTCTGTAATTTTGAACTAGGCTGGAGTCTCCCTTTTTGAAGATGGGGATGACCGTGGCTAGTGACCATAGGTTTGGCAAGGAGATGGTCCTGAAAGATTTGTCAAAGATTATGCTTAGAAGTTCAGCTATGGCAGTGGATAGCTTTTTTAAGAAGTAGGCACATATTCCGTCTGGTCCAATAGATAGAGATGGTTTTAGATTGCGTAGTGCTTTTTCAACATTGTCTTCTGTAAAATCAATATTTATTAGATCATTATAGTTGTCTGTGGTTCGACTAGGAAATACTGGGCATGATCCATTGCTGTTTACAAATTCTATTCTATTCTATTCTCTGAGGCACGAATTACAATAAGCAAATCTTCATAATAATAAGCGAACTAATTGTCTCCTGCAACCACCACTCCCCTTTTGCTTCTATTTATTCCCCATGGGAGGGACATTCAGCATCCCTGTGTGCCTTTCCTTCTGAGTTGGCCCCTGTTCCTTGGTTGTTCTCTTCTCCTAACAGCTCTTTACTGGCATATTTGGCATATTTCAAGAGGCACTGAAGTATTTATTCCAAAGTATATTTATACTTTCTTTGGAATAATTTGACTGGTTGCTTCACTTTCCCTTTACAACTGATCACATATGTTACAGCAGCCATTCTGCCAGCTGAAGAACAGAACTGACATGGGTAAGGAAGAATTTCAGATTTTCAGAAACAGTAACATTATTGTATTAGTGCACCCAGTAAGATAAAGATATTTCATACTTAAGGCATTCAAAGATTAAACTGAATTGTTGGTTGTTGTTGAGATTTCCAGGGTGGAATGACTTGATAATTTGTGAATGTTTCCATTAAAAGCTACAGAGAAATTGATATATAAAATGCAGCCCTATGTGTACTATATGTGGTATCTGAAGACACAAATTGCCTTGGGAGACTAGAGATTTCAGCAGCTTCAATGTGCCATGGGATCATGGACAGAGATTTCTCATGTAATTAGAAAAAAGGATAAAAAGAATTATTACTCTTACTACTCTTAGAAAAGAAAAATAGTTTTCTCATTTATGCGTTCTTGATTTCTTATATCCCAGCATATATCATTCTGATAAATTGATGTAATAAATTATACAGGTCCCTCTCTCCTCCGTGCCTGTACATTTATTTTTGAATATAAAATTGATAAAAGCAAAAAAGGCGAATTCCTTCAATTCCTGGTGTTTTCAATTCCTGGCATTTTCTCAGCACCATTAAGGAACCTTTTGATATTGCCTGCTGGTTTATTTGTTTCTTTTTCTTGTACTGGTGTTGTGTTGTATTGTAGCATAGCATGTTTGTAGTTGGATTATTTTCCAGTCCAGCCATGGAAAATTTCTTTCTGTCTCCAAGTTGTTTTCCATCAAATCACAGTTCGGGGCCTTGAAGAAATTTAAACAGCGAGACAGGTCACCATCTACTTCACTTTAGAAGTTGTGTCCAGTGAGAAAGAACCCATAGCTGTGGACTGCAATGTTGTCACAGGATGTAGTGTCAGGGAAGGCTCCTCCTTCTATGGAAGAAACTATGCTGCCCCTACTAACAGCAGTAAACCATCTGTCTCATTGAACAGTAATCAGATTCAGTTACGCTTATATAAAACGCTGGAAAATGCCTTTCCTCCCACTTTTGTAAGAGTACAAATGGTGCTGCCAAAGTGTGGGAATGGAGATGGGTCTGGAATAATTAGTTGTGAATTAATATGCATAGTGCGTACAGTGTACAGTATGTGGAAGAGAGTTACACTGAGTTACACTCTGTTTCCAAGTTCAAGTTTCAAATGTTTTCAAATATTGTATATTTCTCTTTGTGAAACATCCTTTGCTTTTTACTAACAATCTTAGGGGTGATGATAGCAGACAGCATGGAGACAAGCTAAATATTGCTGAACAGAATCACTTATATGGACTCCAAAATTGAAAGCATACATTGAAACCATGTTAATTTGTTCAGAATGGCCGCAATCTGTTCCTTGTAGGGGGAAATGTCCATATGGAGCCACTAGATGGTGATACAGTGTCAGTTAAAACTAATGGAGGCATAGTAGGGAAAAACAGCCAATAAAAGTGACTTTAATCAGCTCAAGATGTATTTGCACATTTCCCTCTGCGTTACATCTAATTGTTTCTAAATATGGATTGTGCTTCATAGGGGAATCTTTGAATACATAGAGGAACCTTATCCTCAAGGGCTTGCATATTTAAATATTTTTGATCATATATCAAATTTTTAAAAACTTTATTGCAGGGAGATAAAGTTTGAATGAATCTAGCAGGATTGCAACTCCACCACAGTGCAGCCAGTTCACAGTGATGCCTGGGGAAGTGTAACTAATGTTTCGGACTGTTCATTGTTGCTAGTCAAGGAATTAGATCTGCTCCTGTAAAATGAGAAGGTATTAAGTAAGTTGACGCCAAACTATTAATATTGTTTTAGCAGGCCCAGTGCTCACCCAACAAAGTGGTGATCATGATCTTAAAAATAGAATTAAATGAATTAATGAAAGCAAAAACAAATCCATTAGTGGCTACTTCCAGAACAGCATAGTTTTAAAATACATAAATACCATGCATATTTATTTATTACTCAAATTTATACCCAAGGATACAAGGAAACTATTTATTGCTTAAGGCCAATTCAATAACCAACTCTAGTAGCAAATACCCCACTTTTGTAACAAAACTTAACACAACATGCAACAATATTAATGATCAACATCCTAAGTCATGACTGAAATGTGCAGGATGTCATTTCCATTTTAATCCCTACAGGCTTTCTTGATATCATTCCTGAATTCCAAAAAGTTTGCAGCCACTCAACCTTCAAGGGGAATTCTGTTCCATAGGGAAAGGGAGGACCAGAGAGGGCCTGGGTTCAAGTCTTCTGAGGGTGACTCTTTCTCAGGGTAGGCAATTAGATAGACAGATACTGCTTGGGGCAGGAAAACCTAAAGCAGGCAGGTTTCATGTTACCTATACATTGCCACTATTAGAAACATCACATTGGTGTCTGATCTCAGCAATTTTTATAGCTACTCAGTCCTTTATATTTGCCTGATGCATTTATCCTAAAAAAAATTGATGCCTCTTTTTGGCTACTGTTTCCTTGATTCCTGATATTCCTAAAGTTGCATGGAAGTTCTCTTCTGTGTGATTTCCTTCCAAGCCTTTTGCAAGTAGGACGATTCCTGAATACAGTAACTCTAGTGTTCTCGCTATATGTTATGCTCCCCGATGTCATGTTTAGTCTGCAAGCTTATTTTATTAGAGTAAACCTTTGCAACCGAAGTCAGAGGTTTTCAGAGTAGCAGGATAGAGAAATAACAAACACGTTTTGACATCAAACAATTATGGTAGACCCTGTTATTTAATCCTCATGACTGCCCATCTCACTCCTCTTCTTTCATGGAATAACAATGTATTTTTCTTTTCCAAATATTTGGGATTACATAAAGTACTTTATATTCCTCTTGAATAAACATCTCTTATATCAACATGATTGGAGGGATGGTGAAAATTTGTGAAAAGTTTTGTTTTGGGTTTCTCTCTACATTTGAAACAACACTCAGCATAATGTTATGCATATCTAAAGCCCATTGTGACTGCTCCTACAGAAAAGTATTAGAATTGTTACGAAAGCACAGTGTTATTATATTTCATCTGTTTTATATAGCAAGAGAAGCTTTTACTCAAATGTGTTTGACAGAGTCATGAATTAATATTTAAAAGAATGGAAGAATAAATGTATAAATTTATTATAAATTTTATAAATTTATATATTGGTATTAGATTTAGCTTACGTATATTTATAAAATGTTTTGCTCAACTTTTTCTAACTAATTGCCTTCTGGTGTTTTTAGGATTCCACAAGGTAATGGAAGGAATTCACAAAGCTCTTGAACTTGGCTATAATCCTGTTAAGGTGAGAATATTCCTTACTAGTAATGTAGAACTACATAGTATTCATCTTATTACACAAAAGTACAAATTTCAGGCTGTAGACAAGAGTTTGCCTGCAATACTGCATTCTAGCCATTTTGCTACCATTGTGCAAATTTAGTTTTGGCATACTTATGTCTCATCTTATATGATACTTTCAATTATTTATTATTTAAATCAACACAAAATGCTTATTTTTTTTCGTATTTCACCATTCCAGCCTAAAGTTTCTGCTGATTAGGGAATGACCATGATCTCCAAAGGCATTTGGAGATCCTCAAATTAGGAACGGTGGTATAATACCTTAACCCCAATAGTTAGTTTCGGAAGTAATTCCCCAATACACATTTTTCTTTAGCTATCCCATAATTTTAAAAAAATCCCATAAAGGAAAGATCGGGAATAATTGTCTGTTCAATAACAGAGAGCACATTATCTGGATGGGCTCATTGTGCTGTTGTTCAGAGGAAATGGCCTTGGATCACTTCTTGTACTCATTCACTCACTTTTTCTTTTAGGTGAACTGTGTGATTATGAGAGGACTCAATGAAGATGAGCTGCTGGATTTTGTTTCTTTTACAGAAAAGCAGCCCCTGGATGTGCGCTTTATAGAATACATGCCTTTTGATGGTGAGTTCTTGAGATTACGCTTGGCTTCAAAGACTGAGTAAATGGAGTTGGCAGATTCCCATCCCTTCCAAAGATGGCGATGGAATGTCAACTTAGAGGGGTCTTCAGCCTCTGTGGCCCTTTGGAAAGAGACAATGCCGAAGTATTGGCATTGCTGGTATTTTTTATTATTGAAGTTGTTTGTCTCCAATCGTACAGTTTCATGGCAGCAAAACACAAGTAGTGTATTCCACGTATTCCTACCTTTATATATTAAGTTTTACTAATAATATTATTATTATTTTGCTACACAAACCATGTTAAAAACATAAGGAATTGCATTGGAATGGGATTTTCACAGACTTCTGCTCCTTCCACTGCCACCACTGTTTTTAACTGCCTACCACCATCTTAACCATTGTCTAGTCACACAGCACTCTGTTGCCCAGGATGACAACATGCTATAGTTAAAAACATACCTTTTGTATTATAAACTTAAATCCTTCTCACAGTCAATACCAGCCTTATTTGACCAATAACGTTTGTTTCCTTCTTACTCTAGGTAACAAGTGGGACTTCAAGAAAATGGTGAGCTACAAGGAAATGCTGGATACAATTAAACAGAAATGGCCAGATTTGAAAAAGTTACCCTGTGAAGAAGCTTCTAGCACTGCCAAGGTGAATATTAGCATGATCAAGGATCAGTAATAAGAGATAATAATTCTTGGTCTGCTACTTCATTGCTATAGTTTGATTAGTTATCGGGATGTGGGGGAGAGAGAGATGGTGCAAATTCTATAGTCCTACTAGAACATGCATATAAAGGTCTACTTTTGGCAATTATGCTACTCAAAGTATTGGCTCGATACTGTGCCTACTTATCATTTAATTTTTAAACTTATATGCCATCCATCTCACCTAAAAATGAATTTAGGGGGCTTACTGTAAGATAAAAACAACAATGTAAAACATTAAAATATTAAGATAATAAGTATTAATATTAAAAAGATAGCTAAAGGGAGCTAAAGGAAGGGAGCAAATTAAAACAGGGTGGCGGTAGTATCATCTGTCAGTCCATTAACCACCTCCAGTATGACATGCTCACATTGGGGTCTCAGGCAGAGCCAGGATTTAACACCCTGCAGAAGGCCAAGAGGATTGGCGCAGATCTTGCCTCAATGGATGCAGTGTTCCAGATGGCCGGAGCTATGGCAGAAAAGGCTCTTTTCCTAGACTCAGGGGGCAGAATTCCTTGACCAGTGGGGTCCTTAACACACTTGACCAATGTGGTTCATAGGACCCTAGAATGGCAACTAATGCAGTTTGCCTAACAACATGGGCCACCCTAGGGACCTCAAGAATTGTCTGTGGCTGAATTCCTTGAGAGCTGCAAAAATACTCTTCAAGAGTATTGGGAGTATTTTGGGAACCAAATATATTCTGACTAGAATTAATGCTTTGTAAACTGTAGTTATTTAAGTATTGCCTCAGTTTTTAGAGTAGATTTATGTATCATTACCTTAATCATTGTCATGTGATAAATTTATATTATTATCTATTATCCATAAACTATGCTTGCTTTTTATGTAGACTATGCATGAGGTATTGTGTCTGGGAATTTTGGTCATTTTACAGTTATATCCATGACAACTGCTGTTGTGTTTATAATATAAATGTGTTCCATAATACATGTGATTTGTACATGATTTGCATAATGTTTCTAACAGAGAAGTATGCAGCACGTAAGAATTTTAAAATAGCCTTCATCTAAACACATATCATTAAAATGTTGTCATGGATTTTTCCGTCTAGCATGTAAGACCTTTGTAGAAATAAGTTTAACAGGAAATTGTTGGAAAGAAGATAATCCTTACAATACTAGTAGTGTTTGCTCTATATCATAAAGATAATATATATCCCTACTTATTGAAGGACTAATATAATCCCAAATTCAATAATTGATTCCCAGCATACTATTGATATATGAATATTTTTACTGGTGACTTTTGACCTCATAGTAACATTTCATTCTGTAAAATCATTTACATACAGCTATTTTGAGTGTAAAATGGATTGAGCCTAAGATACTTCTATAAAACTCAGAATTAGCCCATTCCATTAATCTCTGATTGAGTTTAGGCATGCTGGGGTTATCCTTGGATGCCATTGGTGAATACAGATATTAGATTAGTCTAGTCCACCCTATAAGGTTTCAGGGGGAGATTGAAATCTTTCCTGAGGATCTGATGGATGGCTTGATGGAGCTATTGGTCACTTCCTGAAATAGATATCTGTCAAAGGAGTTGGATTGGATTGTTTCTGTGTGGTTTCTTACTGAGAGTCAATCCCAAGGAACTCTGGTTCTCTAAGAAGATGAAATGTCAAAAGTGCCATTGGAAAGAAGACAATGAATCCAACTGAACATGAGTAAAAACACATATTGGAGATTGCACAATGGTGATAAGGTTTTTATCTCAGCTGCAGATAGCTGTTCATTTTTTTAAAGATGACTAGTTCCTAGCTAGGCAGAGATGAAGTTACAGGGTAATCTGGAGAGCTTTCATCTGATAGATAAAGCTGCACAGACTTGCTTGCAATTGTCCTCTAACTGTCCAGATCCTATTGAGTTGACAAAGGCAAGGTCTTGTAGAGTTGCCTCAAATGCTTTCTGCTGCTGAAGATCCTCAAATCCACCAAACCAATTGGGGGCTCAGTCCTTGGGTGGTTAAAACCACTTGGGGGATGCTGTATAGTTGGGTCTGTGCAATAATATTCATTTTGCTGAAAGAGTGGGTGGTACAGCTTGAAGGAAGAGATGCTTCACTCCCTCTTCAAGAAGGCTTCTGCCTTTGCTGAAGTGGACAGTCTTGGATAATTTTCATCCACTCACCAACTTTCATTTCTTGGGGAAAATTGTTGAGAAAGTGGTCAAGCTATAGCTTCAGAGAGCAAGCTGGATATGGATAATCTGGAAAATACAGATTATCTATAACCTTTTATGCTTGGTTTTATACTGGGATATAATATTGAGATGATGAAGCTATCATGGTTCTCTTTGATATTTTAGCATTTTCAAAAGTACTGTCAACCATGATATTCTTCAGGGTCATCTATAGGGATTTGGGATGGTAGATATAGTGCTCTAGTAGTTATCTTTTTGTGTGTGTGTAGTTAGATCCAGTCTGCCTATCCTACACATTCCAGCATATGTTCTGGGTCCCACTGACTAAATAATTTTGTCTGAGGGAATCCTGAAATGGGCCTTCTTTATCAGAGCACCCACCTTCTAGAATTATATCCCCCAATAAATTTATTTAGTCCCACTCTGACCTTATTCAGATGAACCCTTAAAATCTGACTCCTCCAGGATCTGAGCTAGAATGGATGACAAACGTTTTATAGTGATAATTAGTTCGTCAGAATTTGAGTTATTTTTCTGGACATCTGCTTTTTGTATTGTTTACAGTTTATTGTTTTCAATGTATACTATATGTTTCCCAGAGTCATGATGGAGTCAGGCAGCCTATAAATTTAATTAATGCATTTAATAAATATATTTCACATTGGAGACATCTGTTTTCTGCTTGAGGCAAGGTGTTTTGAATTTGACAAAGTTTGAATTCAAAACATTTTGTGCATCCCTAGCTTCTCCTTTCACAAACTAGAAGAAATTTTAGGAATGAAGTACAAATGATGTGATTAACTTCATTGATCTTTTTTCATTTTGCTCCCATGTTTGACTTTTAACAGGCATATAAAGTACCAAATTTTCAAGGGAAAGTTAGCTTCATCACTTCCATGTCTGAGCATTTCTGTGGATCCTGCAATCGGCTAAGGATCACAGCTGATGGGAATTTGAAGGTAACTCTATTGCTTTCGCTGTTTGATCATGGAACCAGTTACTGTATTTTTCACTCTATAAGAAGCACTTTTTCCCCAAAAAAGTGGGTGGAAATGTCTGTGCATCAGTGCCGGTCATTTGGTGAATAGCAGCCAGGCCGTGGCGGCGCAGTCCTTTTACAGTGTGAACCCCGCCTCTTCTATCTTTGTCATTGCTTGCCTCTTCTGTCTCTTTTCCACAGTGCAGGAGTCAATAGACAGAGCTGGCACATGGGAGGACACCTATCTGTGGTCCTCTCAGGCTCCACCTGAATTTTTTTTTCTTGTTTTTCTCCTCTAAACCTAGGTGCGTCTTATGGTCAGGTGCATCTTATAGTGCAAAAGATAAGGTATCCAGGGAAATGGGTGCCCTCACTGTATGGTTTCAAGCAAAGGCTAACACCTATCTCTCTGGAATGGTTTAATTTGGACTCCCATATTAACCAAGGAGGTACAACTTGGCAAATGATTATGATAACAATAAATTAATTATTTATTTGACATGGATGGAGCTCATAAAAAATGGGCATTGCATTCAGAACAGCATAAAAACTCTCTTGGATAAATAATATAAACAAAAGTAGTACATTATATAACAATTCTTGTTTAGTTTATTACTTGAAGCAAGCATATTTTTGCTGTTTCCTTAAATTTTGTTTTTCTTTCTTTTCTAATACACTGTATTCAAATATGAAAACTGTTGGGAAGTAAATATACTTTAGTCTTTTAATTGAAATTGTCTTGTAAGTGGTAATTGGCAAGCACTATTAAATCAGACATGTGGGGTACAGACCAAGTAGTGAGATGGGAGGAGAGAGCAGGGAGAGGATGATCAATTTTCCTGTCACGTTGAAAGTTGTTATTTGTAATTAGTTCAGACTTGGTGCTTAAAAGTTCCAACTCCCACAATTGGTGACAGCAAGCATTGCATTAATATCTGTTGACACTAAGTTAGAGCAAGTTCATTAGCTTAAATGACTTACAGAGCTTGATCTTAATGTCCTTGAAATATTCAAGCCAGTACTTTGCCTTATGCTAGGAGAAGTTTGAATTAAAGCACACCAGCAGGTGGCCACACTTAGTTGATCTTTGCTGATCTCAAAACAACTAACGCAACATTGGATGTAGTATTTGGACAAGAGGACACTAGGAAATCTTGGTGCTGTCAGCTAGACTGAGATGTTTATAAAAATTAACAAAGAAAAACAGAAAGAGGTAGTGGCAAACCAGTCCTGTTTTATTGCCAAAAAAATCAAAAGGATATGCTGATATAGTTGCAAGAGTCAAGAATCCTGAAGAGTATTCGGAAGCTAAAGCTGATACAGATTGCAGCCACACGAGCAGTTCTTGGGGCACCAAGAATGTATGTAACACCATTGCTCTGTGAGTTGCATTGGCTGCCAGTCTGCTTCCAGATGCAATTCAAGGTGTTGATAATCACCTTTAAAGCCCTTCATGGCATGGGTCCAGGGAGCTTGTAGGACCAACTCATCTCAATGGGATTGGCCTTTCCACCCCTTGGCAGCAGAGAAGGCATGCCGTAAGCCCTGTCAGCTCAATTATTTTGGCTGGCAAGATCTAGAAGAAGGGCCTTCTCTGCCATTACCCTGTGGAACATCTTGCCCCTTGGAGTAAGGACAGCCCCATCAATCTTCCATAAGAGCCTAAAGCAGTGTTCCCCAACCCCCGATCTGTGGACTGGCCCCAGGATGTGGCATGCCAGAAACCAGGCCATGCCAACAAGCGAAGCCCTGTCCGCAGGATGCAGGCATCATGTGAAACCACACCCCCTCCAGTCCACAGAAAAACCTCTTTCCATGGAACTGGTCCCTGGCGCCCAAAAGGTTGGGGGCTGCTGACCTAGCTCTGCCACTTAGCTTAGGAGCATCACAATGTGGTTCGTTAATTAACAACAGATCCCACTTATCTCCCTATCCTGCTCCCGCCTTCCCCATCTTTTAATTGGGCCATAGTGTTTGGATTTTGTATTATTTATGTTTTTAGGTTATATAGTTTTTATCTTTTATCATTATAAGCCACCCAGATTTACTTTAAGGTAAGATGGGCAGCCTATAAATAAATGTTTCCACAATAGCTTTAGGGGATATGAAGTAGCATGCAGTAAATCAGATATTGGTGAATAATAACATTTCTATTCTTAGTTTGAACTCAGTCATAGAAAAGTAACAGACTACTAGTACCAAGAGTAACACAATTTTTATCTTCCTTCCATAAAAGAAAGCTAGATGTCTTTACAGGTAGAACCATGTATAACATCTGTTATTTAAATTTAGAGTGCTGGACCATTGATAGTGCTGACTTTTCTTTACCTAACAGCCAGGAGATAGTTTATTATTATTAGTGATAGTAGTAGTATACTTCTATATCTTTCAGAAAAAAAATCATTGTGCAGCCCATATACATACAACTTTTGTCCCAGAGGCTGCAGAACCTGAGTCCTTCCAAAAGAAGGGGAACTTTTTAATTCAACAAAGAAATATTAAATTCCTAATTAAGTTCATTTATGTTAAAATAAATCTAGTTCTTGTCCTGGCTCCATTCACTTAATTGTCCAGATCATACTCGTTTCCTAGAGGGCAGCCCTTGGGATATCAATCAAAAGCTAAATGCACTCCTCAACCCAGAGAAAAACAATCCTTTTGGATAGAACGTTAGATGCAAGTCAAACATTTTAAATTCAATGTCATTCTCACCCTAAAGTTTCTGACCGTACTTGGAGGTTGGAATAGTCTGCTTCAAAGTTTGACCTCAAAATGTTTGCAGATCAGTAGAACATGCTATCATTTCCAAAGCAAACATTGCATAGGAGATATGCCCCACTTGAGCATGTTGCGTGTTAGCTTCCAGTCTGTACTGACTTCTAAGTCCTCATCCTTGGAAGAACTTTGTAAAATTGAATAAACAAGTCTACATTAGTGCACACTCTTGTTGTGTTCTTGCAGTTCCCAGGGACTGTTCTCTTACTATAATGGTGTGTGGGAATGAACTTAGGAGACAGGGGAAAGTTTTATGGTTGTTTTCCATCTTCAGATGAAGTAGCGGTTGTCTGCTTGCCTCTTCAAGATAAGGACAATGGCAGCTGGCATTTTGTACAACCGTTGCCAGTTATTGTAAGTTGCAAAACTGATTCATTGTTGGAGCAACCAACATTTTCTTTTGAAAGATAATCTGGAACTAAAATGTTTTGAGAATTTAATGAACTTTTCTGTAGTGCTAAACCCATATAACCTGATGGGGAGTGAAGCGATGTCATCCTCTCAGTTCATCTTCTGTTCTTATTTCAGGTCTGCCTTTTTGGAAATTCAGAAGTGTCCTTACGGGATCACTTACGATGTAATGCCTCTGAAGAGGAGTTGATGCAGATTATTGGGACAGCTGTTGGCAGAAAGAAGAAACAACATGCAGGTATGCCATTTTGTGGAAGTTATTTTTCTCTCTCTCCCAGATGCGTAGGCAGAGCTGGATTATTAAGAATAAGCACAATACAGTGCAAAAGTCTTAAAGTGAAATCAAATGTTATGATTTAAGGATGTATACAATGCTTCCAAATCAAAATTGATCAAGACTAAAACATCCCAGTTCTTGAATTCAAAACGGATTATTCTAATCTTACCGGCAGAGTTCCAGTTCTGTTCCATTTCATCCAAAAAAAGAGTTCCAGGCTCAAAATAACATTATTTTGATTCAAAAGACTGAGATCAAAACTGAGACACTCGGTAGTAACAGAAAAGCCCTTTTGTGCTTGAAACATTTTAAATTAAAAATAATTTGCACACTACAATAGTTCTGCTGTACTTTATGCTGACAGGAATCAGGAAGTATTGATTTCCCTTTCTTGCAGTCTTCTCATGTTATCCAAATATGTTACCCTGTGTTTGTTCAGAGTTCATTTTATGGGACAGAAGGAAGGAAAAGAATCACAAACACTGCTCCTGCCAATTTTGACATGATGTTACAGCATTCCTAGGCTGTCTAAAAAAATCTAAAATAAAGAAATCTAAAAATATAAAATAAAGTTTTGCCCCTAGCCACTGAAAAATTTCCTGCCATTGTTTTACAGCATATAAGTCCTTTGATTAAGGATCATATTTGGTATATTATTTTGGGGATAAGTCCTTCAAATTATGTTATAGACTGCTGTTTTTCATTTCTTATGGGAATTGTTTTCATAGTCTGGTTTTGCTTTCTCTCTTTCCCCATTCATAAGTACCACTTCAAGAGATGATTGCTTAATACTTTGAATGCCAACATCCATACCATCACCAACGTTTTTATTTTGTATTTTTGCACTATTTCCATTGATATAAAATCTGGGAGTATTAATAATTTTTGCATGTTCATTATTTTCTTCTCAGGCATGTTCAACATTTCCCAAATGAAGAACAGGCCAATGGTCCTCATTGGTGGGTGACCAATCAGCACGTAAGAAGTACTTAAGTTATGCAAGACGGTTCACAACCTGTAAACAGAGACTAAACATTTTCTAAATGAGTAGTAGAAATATGTGCACATTTTCTTTTTAAAAAGCATCATCTGGGGCCCTAACCCTAACCCTTTTGGTGCATGCAGATCAAACTAATGCTGGTATGTGCATCTTGCTCATGCAGCAACGTGGAGGTTTCTGAGCTTCCATTCTCCAGTCTGTAAGCGCGAATTTTATTATGTAGCTGTTCCTTGGGGCTCTGTACTTAAACCCACTTTAAGATCTGGTATATTGCTAGAATTAGAAGGATGGGGTATAGATAATTTGGGAAATGGGAACAATTAACTACTAGCATTTCCACAGCATGGGAGAACCATGTGGTAAACCATACATTTGGAGGTTTGCCTGTAATTGAATAAGACGTTTGTGGGGGAGAGCAAAGGAAGTTGGATGCAAAGACAGGCTCCTTCCAGCTGGTTTTGGAATGGGAAGTTGGCTGCCTACACACGGCTATGTATCTGGGACTTAAATTACGTCTGGTAAGGCCATGCATTCTGCACCTTGGGATAAGCGACCACTGACTTTCTCCCTGCAAATAGCATAGTCTTTGTGACTAAGGTAGAACCAGCTTTGTTAGGATTTACAGACTACTGCAGGAATATATAGAGCAACTCAGGCAGCTTCCCAAATTAATTTGAAACAGATTACAAAGTTCCATGAAGATACCTGTTGTGTGAATCAGTAGAAAGTAGATAGAAGGTCCAAAGTCCAAGAGAGGACCTGTAGTGAATGCTATGGAAAGAGTAACAGATAACAGATAATCAGAGTTGGAAGGGACCTTGTAGGTCATCTAGTCCAACCCCCCGCCCAAGCGGGAGACCCTATACCATTTCTGACGAATGGCAGTCCAATCTCTTCTTGAAAGTCTCAAGTGATGGCGCTCCTACAACTTCCGAGGGCAAGCTGTTCCATTGGTTGATTGTTCTCACTGTTAGAAAGTTTCTCCTTATTTCCAGGTTAATTCTCTCCTTGTTCAGTTTCCATCCATTATTCCTTGTCTGGCCTACAGGCGCTTTAGAAAATAGATTGACCCCTTCCTCCCTGTGGCAGCCCCTCAAATATTGGAAGACCGCTATCATTTCTCCCCTGGTCCTTCTCTTTACTAGACTAGCCAAGCCCAGTTCCTGCAACCGTTCATTGTATGTTTTAGCCTCCAGTCCCCTAATCATCCTGGTTGCTCTTCTCTGTACTTTTTCTAGAGTCTCAACATCTTTTTTATAATGTGGTGAACAAAACTGGATGCAGTACTCTAGGTGTGGTCTTACTAAGGCTTTATAGAGTGGTATTAGTACTTCCCTTGATCTTGATTGTATCCCTCTGTTAATACAATTTAGGATTGCATTAGCTTTTTGGGCTGCTGCTGCACACTGCTGGCTCATATTTAGCTGGTTGTCCACTAAGACTTCAAGATCCCTCTCACAGTTACTGCTATTGAGCCTGGTTTCACCCAGTCTGTATGTGTACTTTTGGTTTTTCTTGCCTAAGTGTAGGACTTTACTTTTCTCTACATTGAATTTCATTTTTGTTAGAATACGGCCCAGTGTTCTAGTCTGTCAAGATCTATCTGGATCTTGAGCCTATCTTCTTCGGTGTTAGCTATTCCTGCCAGCTTAGTATCATCTACAAATTGCAAAATGAGTAAATTGTCTTGTTTTCCCTCTCTTATTTTTCTTGAATTATTCAGAGGGTTTTTTCCCCTTAAAATACAGTTTAATCTTAGTGTTTTCTTTTGATGTTCTCCTTCACATAAACTCATTAGCAGCGTGGAAGGCTTGATGAATTGTAAAAAGACAAAGATTGCATTTAAGACTTCTGCAAAACAATGAATATAGTCTGAAATTCTGTGTTGACATACTCTAGTTGCCCTTTGTCTTCATGCAGTCATAAGCTCATAGTCTGTTTATGAGAACAGTCTCTCCTGCCAATCTTGGTATGGATCTTCTCTGCTTCTCATACACTATACAATAGCACTTAGACTTATATACCACTTCATAGTGCTTTACAACCCTCTCTAAATGGTTTACAGGGTCAGCATATTGCCCTCAACAATCTGAGTCCTCATTTTGCCGACCTCAGAAGGTTGGAAGGTTGAGTCAACCTATGCTATGAAAATAGTAACTTTCACTGGCACATTGCTACAATTTTATCTCTAAGTATATAATAGTTGGAAAGCAAAGCACAGGGACTCATTTAACAATGGTGTTCTGTTGGGATTACAACACTGCAATTTTCACTCAAAGGCTGTGTTGGTCAGGACTTTGGGGAAATGGAGTCCCAACATTTTGGGAGAATGCCCAGTTTTGTGTAACCTAAAGTTTATTCTCAGATCTGCAAAGGTAGACAGATTTTTATGTAATGTGTTACAAAATGTATGTGGCAGGTATCCAATGTCTCTGTGGTCTCTAATGGAAAAAGGTGGGGGAACCTCGGGTGTGCAAAAAGAAACTGATAAAGAAGGGATCATTTCATAAATTGACTTCAGCAGGCAGAAATCCTATGCAGGAATTCTGTGTTGCTCTTCAAATTACCCCTCTATAAATGCAACTGAGAACTACACAGGATCTTAGAGGTCAGTAGAGTCAATTAAAAACACATTCTGATATACAGTAATAGGGATATATGTATAACATCCACAACAACCTGGCATCTATAAAAGCTCAAAATTAAATAATGCTTTTTAAATTAAATTAAAGTGATTAAAATTTCATGAGCTTTCCAAATCTCATGATATTTCACGTTTTCCCTTGAAAACTTGGAGATGATATTATCAAAAGATGAAAATCAGAGAGAGAGAGAGAGGGAGATCAAGACTCAGAGCCAGCCCTCCTGATAGTAATAATGTCATTTTGTACAATGGCTGTCAAAAAAGATTGTTAGCTTCCTATTGTATAAGGATCGGCCACATCTCAACAAGTTCAGTTCTAAAGAAATACTGGAATATAAGAACTTTGTTCTATTATATAGCTCTTCTTCTCTCCACCCATTAATATCACTTATATGAATTTTTCACAAACGAGTTGAACACATACATGGATGATTTGTGTGTACTGGTACACTCTCACTTCTAGCATTAAGATTGCTTAGTTAAGAACCAAAGTGGAAATTTAAGTTGTCAGCTTTCAAAATTAATTTAGGGTTTGTTCCTTTCAATTGGTTGTTAGGGCTGTGAGAGGAAGAAGTCACCAAAGCTTGCATGGGATTTGTTGCCCAGTACCTCTGGAACAGCTAGCTATATACATTCACAGTGTGAAAATAATGGTGTGAAAGTGGACTTGCTGAATTCTAATCTGTCAAAGAATATAATGTTCTCAGATGGGCACCACATTGTTTTGTTGGGCAGGGAGAAAAAGTGACATGCACAGCACACACTTGATAGGCTGCAATAATTTTAGACAATGGTCTTAGCTGTCTTTGATCGGGGTAGGTTCCCCTCTGCCTTAGTTCCAGCAATTAAAAATTGTAAGAAAAGGCTCTTGCATCCTCAAAAAAGAAACCAGGGCCATGAACAGATGAGAGATAGACAGAATATGATTATGTTTCTGGGTAAGAAAGAGCTGCTGCTGCATCATAAACAATTCCTGACACCCTAAAGAAATCCTCTGATGGGTGCATTGAGCATCATTATTTCTTTCTTAGTCTCTTAGCTATTGGAAATAAAATAGAATTGCTACCCTCTCCACATCAGAAAAAGTCTCATTGAAACTAAAAGAGGGAGAAGGAGAGGGGGAAACTGTTCTGACCCAAGCCTCGTTCAAATTAAACAAACACAAATTGTGTATAAAAGCAAACCTATTTTGATGTGGCACTGGGAATTCAGTGCATTCCCAGCCAAGAGACATTTAAACCTAATTGTCCAATATCAAAAGCTAACCCTTTCAAGGTTGCAAAAGGCTTCCAAGAGCAGAAAACTAATTACTGATTAATATCCACCGACAGAAGTTTCAAAAACAAACCAGAGTAAGCAGAGCGTCAACAAGGACTATGAGTCTAAAAACTTCTTTGCTTCCTGCAAAGAACACATCCCCGGGGGCTGGTTTTTATCCCTTATGGGAGGGGCATCGCTTTCCAGCCTTACTCCCAAGTCGCCCTTGCTGCTTCAGCTGCTCTTTCCTTCGAGCAGCCCTGCGCGCATGTGCACTTGGCACAGGCTCCCTGGAGTCTTCTGTGTCACTGCTGCCAGACTCCACAAGCTCTGAAGGCAGCACCCCACTCTTCGATAGTCCTGGCCCCATCCCTGCATCACACGCAGGCCCCTCGTCCGAATCCTTGCTATCAAAGATCTCTGCCATCCGCACCTGCTGCCAGCGAACCACTACAGAAACCAAAACTTTGTAAAGATGCACATCATTAAAGAGAGATTTGGCTACTTCTTCCCATCTCACTTTCCTTTTTCCTCTCTTGTATCTAAAAAGCATGCCTTCCATTATGTTTTTAGAAAATCGCCTTTTAACTTGGTCCTTGGCACTAGACTCTGGCATGGCCATAGCCAAGGGATTAATGAGTGGAAGCTGATTCCCAGTAAGCTTGGAACTGAAATTGACCCAAATAAAGATAACAGATTGAGGAAGGAATTTACAAGCTCTTGGCAGCACCAGGCCAAGCGTGCCTCTTGTTAATGTGGCCAGAGCTGGCAGTTGCAAAGAACTGCTTTTAGCTTCTGGGTATGACAATGGAAAAGTAGTTATGGTCTCTGGAAATTTTGTCTGTACCTTACAACCAAGAAGCCACATCTTGGATTAGGTGTACTGTAAAAGTTTACAGTGTCGGGGTAAACATTACTGTACAGGTAGTCCTCAACTTACAATAGTTTGTTTAGGGACCATTCAAAGTTACAATGGCACTGGAAAATGTGACTTATGTCTGTTTTTGTAGCATCCCCATGATCATTTCATCAAAATTCAGAGGCGTGGCAACTGGTTCACATTTATGACCGTTGCTGTGTGTCCTGGGATCATGTGATCCCCTTTTGCAACCTTCTGACAAGCAAAGTCAATGCAGAAACCAAGTTCACTTAACCATCAGGTTACTAACTTATCACCTGCAGTGATTCACTTAACAAGAAGTGGCAAGAAAAGTCATAAAGTGGGGCAAAACTCACTTAATAAATTTCTCACTTAACAACAGAAATGTTGGGCTCAATTTATGGTCATAATCCAAGGACTACCTGTACTTATTTTAGATGTAATTGAATGAAATGCAGTTTTGTGCTTGATGATATAACCTACTCTTACACTTCCAAAGCGGTTCAGGAATGGAGGTGTGTGTTTGTGTGGAGCTCAGAGAAAGGGACAGGTATAAATAAAACATCCCTGAACAGATGATTATTTTAAGCTTTTGTTATGGAAGGCAATCTGTTCAACTGTTGAATAACTCCTTTCTATTAGTAAGAGCCTTAAATCTTTTTTTTTTAAACTCCCATTATTCATAGTACTGCCCTCAAGAACGGTATGGTAGTATATTTGCTGTTATTTCAGCAATTTGAAAGCTGTTCTCATGTTTGCCTTAATTTTCTGTTCTCTGTTCTGCCTTTTTCAGCCATTCTTTATTTGTTTGATAATATCTGGGTATACTTTTAGAATCTGTATAATTCATAGCTTTAAAATTCTAGGCTTTTTGTGCAAGGGATTTTTAGTTGGAGAAGGATCCTGTGGTCATTAATGACTCATTAATGACTCATTAATGAGTTGCTTTCTAGGGATGTACCAAAATGTTTCAAATTAGAAATACTCCATTGTTTTGAGTTCACAATGGCTTGTTCCAACCATCCAGGAGTCAAAATACTTCCATAATGGACTAATCTATCTTGAATTTGAATAATCTATCTTGAATTTGAATAATCTATTTTGAATTTGAATAATCTATCTTGAATTTGAATAATCTATCTTGAATTTGAAGCAGGAGGTTTTCAATTGAAATATTATGCACGCCCTCTACTATTTTCTAATTTATTAACTAATACATCTCAGAGAGATAGATTTTCCTACTTCCATTTTAAAGGACAAATTAAGACAGCTCAAAATTATAGAGGGAGGGATTTTGCGGGATAGTATCTGACTTATATTCTCCGTCGGCAAGAAAGCCTATTTGGGTTTTTCATGGACAGATAAGAAAACACTGTCCCTCAAATTTTGGTGGGATTTTGTATGTGTGTATGTGGTTTAATATTTTATAGTTAGTATCGCAGTTTTATTGTCATGAGTCACCTAGAGGTGTGTTTAAGACCAGCAGCCATACAAATATTTTAAATAGATAACCACTGTGTCACCACTATGTATGAGTGAGCCCTGTCTACTGCTTTTCAATTAGAGCAGAAGGTAAGCAGAAAGCTTTTTAGAATGGCTTCAGAAGCCCTAATTCCATCAAGAAATATAGCAGTATCTGTATAAGTCCTGTATTTGATTGCTTATATGGTTTGACTTTCTGGATAAGGTGGAATTCTGGAACTGGATTTCTGCCACCTTTGGCAGTTATCATTGGATTTCTAAACTGAACGCATCCATTGCCAACTTGGCCTTTCATTTCCTTTGGATTATTCCCATGCTGCGTATACATATTGCACTTGAAGTACCCAAGTTTTTTTTTTTTTCAAATACAGATTGCCATGTAGTATAGAGAGAGTTGTTATTCAAGAATCAGTGCCAAGTCCTATCCAAGCCCAGAAATAACATAGTCCTTTAAATTATGGGCAACTACTTTCTAACAACTGATAAGAATGCTGGAAAATTTAAGAAAGGATTCCTTATTCAGAAGGGTATTTTTAGAAGGTTTATTTTTCCTCTCTGTGCTTTATGGGAATTTGTTGAACACTGCATAAAATCAACAGTAGTTTTTCTCTTCTAACATCGACTTGTGTTGCTTTCCTCCCCCCTCCCCACCCGCCAGAAGCAACATCAAGGTCATTTCCACTTCTCCAAGATGCCCTGCAGGACCAAGCAAATTTGAGAGATTGGGGCCTCAGACAAGGACAATGCCTGACGCTGAAAGAAAGTTTATTCAAACAGATGGGGAAAAAGTTTAAAACAAATATGTTTACAGGACACCATGCCTTGCCAGGATCTTACTCAGCACGACAGCTTGCATCAAGGATTTCACAAACTCAGCTCAGTAGCAATTGCTTTCTTCAGAAGACTTGGAGCTGCAGCTTGAATGATAAGTGCCTTTGGACAGGAATTCCTCTCCCCAAACAGGCTTCCCATGTGACTCGAGACATTTGTTCCAGGATGGTAAGCCAAGCAGAGAAGGGCTGGAGATCTCTTTCAACTGCCAAATGTCTTGGTGCCTCCGATTGCTTAACCCACGTTGACCGAGAAGGCCAGGTATCAATGGTAGATGTTGGAGGGAAGCCAGACTCAGAAAGGATTGCAGTGGCTTGTGCTGTGGTCCATCTGGGTGCAAAGGCATTTAACTTGTTACAACAGAACCAAATTAAAAAAGGTGATGTGCTTGCAGTGGCCCAGATAGCGGGAATCCAGGGAGCCAAGCTAACAAGCCAGCTCATTCCACTGTGCCATAATGTTCCATTGAACCTGGTTGAGGTTACTCTCAGTCTGGATGCAGAAAAACATACCGTTACCATTCAGGCTCTGTGTCGCACCCATGGAAAAACTGGGGTGGAGATGGAAGCTTTGATGGCTGCTAGTCTTGCTGCTTTAACAGTGTATGATATGTGCAAAGCAGTGAGCCATGACATAATCATTGAAAATGTAAAACTCCTCAGCAAGCAAGGAGGCCAGAGGGGTGACTTTAAGCGAGACTGATTAAAAGCTTTTATTCAAGAGATCAATATACCTTATTCTTGGAATACAATTTTAACAGCAGTGTCTCCAGTACTAGTAACCAAAATTCTGGCCGTTAACCTTACTAAATCATAATCTGTTGTTTCTCTTGCTTTGGCTAATAATGTAGGCCTAAGTCTACTGTTTACCTGTCTTCTTTCATGTAGCAACTGACCTTTTTTTGCCTTTAAGTTCTAAGCTCTCCCACTGCTCTGATTTGCAGTCATTCTAAGGATACATATGTTTAGCCCTTTATTTCTGATTTTGTGCAAAGTTCTGGTCTCCCATCTCCTTTTAATTGCACTAAAATATTCACCCAGCTGGATTTCAACATGAATCTTCTGTTTTGAGGATATTCAGATCCAGAATTCTCAGATGAATTATGATTTTAATATTCTGTCGTATCCAAACACTGGAAAATATAAACTGTGAGTCACCTGGATCACTCCCAACTAGACTAAACATGATTTTGAATAGTAGTTTAGTTTCGATTTGTCTTTCAAAATGGAAGGTAAATATTTGTTGGTTAGGAATAGTTACAAACTAATCTATATACAGTTAAAAATACTGTATAAATTTCTCTTTAATCTGGATGAAAAAAAAATGGTAGTTCTATAAATAGTATGCTCTTTTACCTGAGGTCAAATACAACCCTGGTGCAACTCACAACCCTCAATGAAATTGAATTTGACACCCCTGGTCTAGGGTAAATCTCTCTTTTGCAGAAGCCCATGCCCAAGAGAAGATATGCTCTGGGTATGTCTAAACCTGACTGGCATGAGGGGGATGGAAAACTGAATGTCAGATTTGATGCTTTCCTTTCATAACACAATAAATAAATAAGCAAACAAACAACCCTAACCCCTAGATGTTCAAGCCCATTATAGTCTTCATATTAACATTGATGTGGACATAATTCTTTGTAAGTAAGGCACTGGGATTGAAACAAGTAGGACAAAATATCCTACGTTTCTGGCCACAGATGCAGTTTTGTTATTGTTTTAAAATTTTGTAATCCATTTTATCCCTGCCTAGAAAACTTTCAGATGCAAGACCCTTTAGACACCAACCAAAGTATTTTAATTCTGAACATCATTGCTTTAAAACTCATCAATAGCATTTTAAATGAAAGTAGTATCCTTTCCTGCTCTTCTACAGGAGATTACAGCTTGAGGCTCATTTTGCTAATACTCCTCCTGCTGTATGTGCTCCACATGCATCTACATAGCAAATGCTCCTTCAAGTAGGCAAAAAAAGAAAGGTTTTATTCAAGGCATTTAGAGTTTATGCAGGGGACAATCAGTATTATCCTTTCACATAATAATGCTCAGAAGTCAATTTCAAGGAGAGATAATTTTGATTCTCTGAATGAAAGACCAAGAGATGGATAATATAATAAAATAACAGTGGCACCAAGAGACATTTCTGCACAATCCCATTAAAGGTTGGGATTTCTCAGATTAAATGACCTTCAGCTTTACATCTGATTTTCAAACAGGTTTTTTCATGAAACTTATAAGGGACAGATTGTGCTATCTAGTAATTTATTATAAAGTATTAAATCAAAAGCAATTTTGAAACCAATCAAGTGCAAATCACATAAGGTAATGTTTGGAATCCAACCATTCTCAGCAAGATGTGATAAAATCTGGTCCATGTAGAACAGACTGGGTAAAAATTGCTTGTTCTATAATTTTTGCACTTTAATAAGTCCAAAAATGATCAGAAAGAAGTGCCTACATTTTGCTTATTGTGCTTAAAGGATAATTGAAAAGTGACTCTTTTCCACGTTTATTTTTAGTTAATCAAATAATTATCACAATTTCCTGGAATTGGGGGAAATAAATTATGAACGTAAATAGCCCCAAGTGGCACTCACCACTCTAGCCTGTTTTTCATTGCTTCGACTGGGATAGAAACATTGGTTCTTGATCTAGGATAGCAAGTTTATGGGAGAATTCTTCCATTGGCAGTGTGGCTGTCATATAAACCCAAGGGCAGACTGAGTTGTTTGCTTGAAAGAGAGAGGGTTCTTCCCAGTACACCAAAGGTACATAGAAGGAAAACCAGAATGTAACAACTTTTGCATTACCTTTAAATAGTTCCATATAGAAGTATAGTTATTTTTTTCCCATTTTTTTTCTTAATAAATCTAATCCAAGGTGAGCGGTTTTTACATTCATCCTTCACTGGCAAGGTTGATTACCACTAGAGAGTTTGGACAGTGCAAATAACCCTTGAGTTACCACCATCTTTCATTGCAAGAAGGGATGTGTTATTCAGAGAATGGCGTGAGCAGTCTCAGGAAGAGGCTGCCTTCATGGAGCAAGGCCTTGTCAGCAGCAGGACAAAAGTAGCTAGGCTCAGGTGGGCCCAGCAGTACCTGCAAAGTGCAGGTAGATGGAGGGTTTGCACTATGGCTCTGGGATAGCTGACGCAGGTGCTTGAGGCGGCACTTTTTGGTAGCAGTGATAGCACTGGAGTTAGAGTTGAGACCCAGAGTTGGGGATGGGAGCAGCCCCAGTGCCACCGCTGCAACTGAAGAGGGCCTCTGTGCAGGGCTGCCAAAAGGGCAGAGATGGGGCAGAAGGGGAGATTAAGGGGGGAGATTCAAGAGGAAGCAGCCTGTTATCAAGGCTCAAGGTTGGGAGCAACCAAGCTAGGAATGGCTTGGATCTGGTGGTCACCCTCACCTAAGACCAGTGGCATTCAGTATGGCAACAGAGAGTCCTGGGATTGCCATCACTAAACTATGGTCACATGATGTTTTGTCTAATGGCCACATTGCTTACTGACAGATATTCCAGCCCTAGTTATTGTTGAATCTTAAAGACTAGTTATAAAGCAATGTCAGAAGTTTTTAACCACAACCAATTAGTTAGTAGTTCAGCGGTAATTTCAAGATTGGGAGTTGGTTCCCCATCTTTTTCTTTGATGTGTAATTTTAAAATATGGTGTTTCCATAAAGCTGTAAAGATGGGACAATCGTGAACATGTCTAATGTCATGGAAAGAAAGTCTGGTGAGCATTCACCAGAATAAGGCAAAATAATACCTAGAGCAGAAATGACTTGATCCCAAATGCATTGGTTGCCTTCTTTCTGATCATTAAAAGCTTTGTAAGATTTCTGTTGTTGAAGCAATTCATAAACCATATTGGACAGTCGTTCACTTCCATTTGACATTTCTGAAAGGGCTTTAAAAAACCTCCCCACTTTCCTTTTTAATTCCAAAAACCATAGTCAAACCATTGGTTATGTCTCCACACAACCTTCTGTCAGTTTGAAAATCATCAACAGAAAACATGGATTGAGGAGAGCAATTTAAAATGAATATATGTGTGAAAAATCAACTTTTTCTTGCTATTTGATTTTTAGATTGTATTGTAAATGCCTTACAAAGGAAAAGAAACTTTAGGGAAGAATGTCCCAAGTTTGGAAAAGAGAATGAAAAGGATACATCTCTTGGGGCTGAAAATGGACAACTTTGTAGAATGCAATTTATTTTTTCCTGCAGTTCGACTTTTCACACTGTCTCCAAATAAAAATAGTCTCTCCCTCCAGTTGTTTGTATAATTCATAAACTACTGTTTGCACCAAATGGTATTCATTGATTAAATTCTCCTCATTCCATCCAATAGTATTCTTCGATTAAATTGTTATTGCATAAGTTTATCTGTTGTAATATCTGTGTACAGAATGTCAGTTGAATTACTTAGTAAGAGCAATAGTTCAAGTTTATACTTGACAAGAGGGCTTTAATCACAGGCTGATTACTGTGGTCACTCCTTGTTTCTTCAATTGCAGAGGTCAGTATCATGATGCCGTTTAATGGAGACTACTGATCAGCAGACTTTTTTTTTTTTAAATGACCATAATTTGAGAAGTGCATATGCTTGTGTGATATCTCACAATATTTTGGCTGGTTGAACTGTTTTGTTTTAAATTTGATTTAATGTACATATTCTGGCTCCTAGGCCAAATTGTGATGTATTACTTCAGCCTGAAAAGATTGTTGGCGCTATTTCTTGATGTCTCTTTAGAGTTGTTTCTGTGCATCTGGGTAATTTTAGCTATAAGATTTTAGCTTTTGCCTGAATGTGCCTGATTTTTAAGAAAATTGTTCACCAAATTTCACTTTTGCGTGAGAGCAGAAAACAGAAAATGGCTATAGATACAGACAGATCTGATGTATAGTCCTTGTTATTCCATCTTTTAAGTCTTTATGAATTGAATGAAGTATGTCATATTTGTCCTTATCAGGGAAGGGAAATGATTTGTTGCTGCTTCACATTGCTATGTATTTTCCTACATGTCCTGTATATGGTGAAAAGTAATAACACATTTTTTATAAGTGCACTTGATAAGAAGCATAGGAAATGTGTAAATATGAAGCATATCATTAGATTTTGGTTCCTTCCTGTGGTATCAGAGAATATCAAATGTCTCAAGATCATTGAATCTTATAGAAGTCCCTGATGACGTGAGAAATTGTTCTGCACACATTCCTGTGATACGTGCAATAAACAAGAATGCAACTGTTAGAAAGATGTTTTACTTGTTTCCTCTGCAGCAGTAACATGTTCTAACATTACAGGATGATGGTTTGTCTAGGAGTGTCCAAGCACTGTTAAAATCTTAATACATTTTGCTTGACTACTATTCAGCCGTTCAGTCTGTAATTTAATGTAAACAGCAGATACTTAAACTAATTTTTTTTTTATCTTTTCTGAAGTTTGGTTTTTCATGCATAAATATAGTGACCTAATGTATACTTAAAGGGCTTCAGAATTAATTTTATTGAAAGAAAACTCAGAATTTACAATGATTCAGCATGCATTGTGTTAATTTCTGAAAAATCTGTGCCCTGATAAGAGGATTTTTAGATAGGCTTGTTTTAAAAAGTTATAACCTGCCTGTTAGTGAATAGATGGGATCTCCTTCTTGTTGTTTTGGGAAGGTAGTCCTAATTTTTCTTGCTTATATTCAAACAGAGTAACTAATGATGTTTTTTTGAATGCTTTCATTATGCGTCTATGTAATAATTCCTGGATATACGCACAAATGGGAATGGTTACTAGGTAAATGAAAAGTTTATACAGATTTGCTGAGGTTGTACTAACAATGTTCTTTTTAAAATAAATAAATAACACTTGCACACAGTGGAAGGGCGTGTGAATTTATTTATTAGAATATGCACTCTTTGTAGATAAGGGAGTCCATTCAAGGATGGTTTCAGCAGAGGAGAATTCTCAGGTTTCACGATATTCCAGCTTCTTGTATAAAACTGGGCAAAATAGTTAATTGAATAATAATGCAGTGCATGAAAAATGGATTAATGATTGGTGAGTTAAAATATGGGTTTTGAAGGACATAATGTCAAAGGAAGTTTGTTTGATGAATAAAAAGTGTAGTTTTATTTGTATACAAAATTAAAAATGCCTATCTTTTTAGACACTTGTTTTAGAAAACATTGAAAGGGAAAGCATGTTAGTGTATTTTAGGAAATGGAAAAACCATTGATAAACCTGTATTTCATTAATTACATTAAGAGGAGTGGCCTAAAAAATCTTTTCAGTTAAATCAAAATTGTATTATCACAAAATCTGTAAGTACTTTGAATTTGTTCTATGTCTATGTGGATTACCTGGGAATGTATTTTGCATCTGGGAATTATCTATGTAGAGTACCTGGGAATGTATTTATATATATATATATATATATAGAAGGTCTCTTCCAACTCTGTCATTCTATGTTCCTGTTAGCTATTGCTAATATATCAGAGAAGAGGAAACGACAAAAGGAAGGCCATCTTCTTGTGTCCCATAACAAATGATCTGAGTTAAAATTCCAAGGTTTTCTAATAAAACCATGAGATGGAAACAATTTTAGGCTGATGTTAGTGTTGCTGTTGGCTCACTAGGACTGTTAATGGAAGATTTTTTTTTTTTTTAAAAAAGAAGGTATATAGATGGTTCTTCTAGTATTGATTCAAAGCTAGTAAGAGCCATGGTGGCTCAGTGATTAGAATGCAGTATTGCAGGCTGACTCACTGCTCACTCTCAGGATTCTGAGAGTGTCAAGGTTGATTCTGCCTTCCATCATTCTGAGGTTGGTAAAATGAACACCCAGATCGTTGGGGACAATATGCTGACTCTAAACCACTTAGGACTGTAAAGCAGCGGTCCCCAGCCTTTTAGGCATCAGGGACCAGTTCCGTGTGAGAAAGCTTTTTCCACGGACTGGAGGGGGTGGTGGTGGTTTGTATGCTATCTGCCTCCCATAGATGGGGCTTTGTTTGTTTGCATGGCATGCCGCAGAGTACTGCCAGTCTACGGACCGGGGATGGTAACCCCTGCTGTAAAGCACTATGTATGTAAGTCTAAGTGCTGTGGCTACTGCTTCCTTATGCCTTTGGAGAAAAATTATCTTATTAAACTCCTGGGGTGGAGGAAGGAAAGCTTCTGCTTCTTCTACCTCAGCAGCTAGGGCTCTTTCATCCCCTTTAGAGTACTCTGGGCTGATGCCATTTGTTTTAGGCAAGCAAATGCCTTTCCATTCAAGAGTTAAGCTTTAGTAATATCTGCTTCTGCAGCCAAGCCATGGTGCTGAAGAGAAATATTATAAGCTATATCTGTGTGTGGCATTGGCTGTTGGTGGAAATTGGCATTGGAAAGAAAACTGGAGGGTATCCTTCACAGGCTCTAAGTAATAAACAGTTGAGTAGAGGTGATAACTCTATCTACCCACAAAGTCTCATGTCTCCTATTGTGGCTGGCAATTCAGGAGACACTGCATATTTTGTCCAAATTTAATTCCACTTGTGGTTGGTGGAAAAGGCAAAATGTTGCCAAAGGCTCCGTGCTGTTGGGTTCACAGAGAATTCATGCAAAGCTCAGTTATTCTTATTGGCAGAAAAGGCCAGAGCCAGGGAAAGCATGCAAATCTTCTAGTTTGGTGTGGTGGGTGGAGTCAGCAGAAGAAAGATTGAATTTATTAAAAAAAAAAAAAAAACCAACTGGTTGAATTAGATGTGGAGCTGTGAAGATAAAAATTCCATGAGGAAAAAAAAATCCCACATGTTTAATTCCAGCAAGATGAAATGAGACTGAATTTGGAAGACAACTGATACTCCTGGATGAGGTCATACACCTCTGTGCAGAAGAGTGCTACATAATCTGAGAGCCAAGCCAACTGCTGACTGAGGAGCAGGTGACAGTTGTGTTCAGGAAGAACAATATGCAACTCCATCTTGTGTGCCAGTTGCACCGAATTCTGGCTCATGAAACACTTATAGTCACACATGCCCTAATTACCTTTTGGTCAGACTGTTGCCAATGTATATAGTGGTATATATTATTAAAACACTGGTGTCCATTTGATACTTTGTAACATTCAATTGGGGGAAACACTGCATCATAGAATGTTAAACTTTGTCAACAAAGGTACCTCAAATGGGCTATTGCTGGTAACCATTACTCCCGAAGGAATGAAATTTGGGGAAGCTTATGCCTCTTCCGCTGTTGCTGTTCAGCGTTGCTGTCAAAATGAGCCAAAGTTATGTGATCGTCATTGTCAGTGTTCTCTGACAGCTTCCCACAAGGCAATGGAGAAGCCATATAAGGAAGTCCCTTGCTATCTTCCCATCAGCAAAGTCTCATCCAACTGCATATTCTCTGCAAATCCTTCCCATACACAACAGCAGCCAGATACTTGCCTGCTTGTAGAGAAAGGAGGGAGGGAGGGAGGGAGGGAGGGAGGGAGGAAGGAAGGAAGGAAGGAAGGAAGGAAGGAAGGAAGGAAGGAAGG